TTACAACATATTTGAACTTTGTACGCTGGTGGTCATTTTACATGTAAAATCGTGTGCTGGATCCAAAAATGTAGTGAGAAAAAATCTCAGAAGGATAGTTTTCTAGACACAACTTAAAAACGATTTTTCACGTACAAATAGTTTGTTTTCTAAAATACAAATATCTCGGGCTATAATGAAGTTTTATCAATTATTTAACGTAAAAGCAAGGAAAAGCACATTGGTTTCATACGAAATTAAATAATATTTTAAAAAGAGGGCTGACCAAATCAGGTCATTAGTGTATAATAGATTTATTTAAATAACACTTTATATAATACAGTGAGGAATCCTTATTCCCGGATGATTTTTTCGTCCGTATTTTTTTTTCGGAGTTTCTCTAAATTGTATGGTTTTATTTCCATGGATATATGACCTTATATTTGCTCTAACCTTATATCGAATTAAATCTTGTAAAAAAAATAAAATCAAATGTGAAAATTAAGATAATGGTAATTAGGGTGAAGTGGTTCCGTGAACTCCTTGAATGCTCCTTAGACCTCCATTGTAGCACTTTTTTTAATTCTTCAATACTTATCTTGATGTATACCTTGCAATTTCCTAAAAACTCTCCTAACTTTTTTTGAAATTTTCATAGAATTCTTTTGAATTTATCTTCAGTATTTTTTTGGAATACTCTGATAATTTTTTTTAGAAATATGCTGAGAATTTTCATTCAATTAATTTCAGTACTCCTTTTAAATTCTCTTTCTTTTCTTGGATTTCAACTCACAATTATCTTTCTGTTTGACCTTAGAATTCAGTTGCAGTTCTCCTGACAAGCTCTTTAGAATTACTTTGGGATTTTTGTCAAAACTCTCTTGGAATTCTTCTTAGAAATTATCAATTCCTTTTGAAGTTAACATTGAATCCAACTCAGAATTCCCTAAGTATGCTAATCAGAAGTTTCTTGAAGTTTCTTCTTCACATTCAGTCACCAAAGTCAATGACCAATGGTGATGTTCAAGGTCCTTAATGGTCTTGATGGTTTCTTTTGCCAAATCAGGGATCATATAAAAATGTTCAATGTCCAACATTTTGAAGATTAATTTTTTTTTTCCAAATTCTTAAAAATGTCTCCAAGTTTGATTTTTAGGTTCAGGATTTCGAAAAAATAGTATAATTTCAAAACCACGGTGTAGACTCAATGATGAAAAATAAATTCCTTGATATTCCCTGATTTTCCAGCTGTTTTTTGAAAAAAACCAGACAAGTTTGCGGTGATAGAAATAATGGAAATTCAAAAATAAATATAGCTTACTGATTAAAATTCAATACGTCAATCTACAGTTTTGGTGCTAGACTTTACTGGAATTTTTTAACTTTATGGTTTTATTTCAAAGTAAATGATTAAACTCGTCATCCATTAAAAGGCACCGTTTTTACAGTTGTGGAATATCTAAATTATGGTCCTTTAATAGAAGAAACCATTGTTTCTATTTTAATAACACTGTCGCAATTATAAGTGCAATAAAAATGTATTCGTTTCCGATCGAATATCAATTTTTTAATGAATCAGTTTTGATCTACAAGTTAATCGGAAAATAATGCGATAACATAAATGATTTTGCGAAAACATAAAATATTTGGTAATGGTGGTACGTAAAAAAAAATGACCCAGCATTCTTTAACTTTAAGGAGTTTGGGTTCAATCCCAGTCGGCGCCGTAAAATGTCTTAAATAAGGAACAACAACAACAACATCAAATCCGCATTGTTGGAAATATTTAACTTTACTTAGTGATTATTTTTGAACAGCCGCCTAATTTCAAAATCAAGTAGAATCAAGTAGAAAATTAATGGCAAATCAGTTGAAAATTGTCTTTGTGATATAACTTAGCATATTAAATAAGTTGAGGTAAACATTGCCATAGATATAACGTTTATGTTGCGGCGCCAGTGTTGTAGTGGTAAGCGTGACTGACTCTCACTCCAAATGGCCTGGGTTCAATCCCAGTCGGCGCCGTCGGGATTCTCTAAGGCATAAAATCTCAGATCACGCCTTCCTCGCGATGTAAAGCCGTTGGTTCGGGGTCTATGAGTTGATGGGTCGATAGGTATGTTCCAGATATGGGAGCTGTCTCTCTTGCATTGGTACTCAGTACAGAATATAAGATCGACGGAAAACAAATCAAGGAAAACGAGAGCTTATATTCGTTATAATAGATAACACAGTAGTAATCAATGTTTAGCTTTTATTTTAAATTTCAGCATTTTGAGGAGAAATCTTATGGTTGAAGAAATAATGGATCACGTGCATTTTGTACGTAACCCTCCTTCATACCATAAATTGATAAATAAATTATTCAATTATTGTAGAGAAAATAATCGAATTCCTCATAATTTTCGATCTATTGATGCAGTACATAATCACAGAAAATACTGAAATTATACTGAATTGAATCTGATATATCTTCGTAGATTTTATGAAAATAAATCTAATAAACTATAATTGATCAAGAAATATTCTATAGACATAGACGTAAACTGAAGGGAAGCTGATCACTTTTTACTGATAAACCTTAGTATTCTTCCAACCATAGGTTTGATACACAAACAAATATCTCTATATCATGTACTGGCAAATTATTTTTTATTATTAGGGCAATGGGTCTAATGTTGACCATGGATCTAAAGATTTGGCCCATCGATAAAAAATCTCCTGTTTTACATTTTTTCTTAAAACAATGATCTGGACAAAACAAATTGATATTTTTGGTTACTAGTAAACAATCGGCAAATAATTCTTTCCTTTGAAATTTATGAATGAGCAGAATATTAGAGACACTTAGGCCGTTATAATGTACATTAACCCTATGTATTTTGTTCTTAAATTGCAGGTTTGAGTATTACAAAATAAAAATAGATTAAAAATGCAAGTTTTCAATACTGAATTGAAGTTGATCTTGATTTTTTTGTTTAGGTTTTAATTTTCCGATTTGACAAATGCAATTGTTTTAACGAAAAAAATACTTTCAACCGAGTCAATTGATTGGGTTTTTGATATAATTTCCGTCCTACTAAGCACAACCCCCACTTAACCTCTCTTTTTTGAACGGGTTTGAACGGAATATTTCTGTCAAAGATGACTTTTAAATCTATTCACACTTCCATACGTACCGTTGGATTTGATAAAGAGTCACAAATTGTAGAGATATTGTTTAAAATCTAATACAGCTTCTTGATTCTAAATTCGTCTTACGAGTTTCAATTCTGTCCTGGCTGTCTGTTCGTCTGGCATTGAAACGCCATTAGATTTTCTTCGTCCTACGGATAAACGTAGAAAAAGGTGTTTCACTAGGAGCGCTTCTTTTGTTTTGAGAATAATGAGCGTAAATATTCATACAATGTGCTCTAATAGGATTTATGTTGTAGCTAATGAACTAACGCATCGGAAAAAAAACCTATTATTGATTTGTACACCGTGAAATCATTGATATTATTAATATTTTCTGATCAATAGAACGGAAATAGGCGATTACGACGAAGTAGTGCTCTACCCTTACTGAAAAGATTAAAATTCTAAGCTGATAAGTAAATTTTTTAAAGATAGCCATACTCATAAATCACCATAAGCCACATACCCTGAAATTTTCAGATTTGCTTATTAGTATTTTGTTCATGCACAGTCTTTATATATATGTGAAAATAAAAAGAAGATCAGTTATTTGGAAGACGGTCATCCAGCATTTGGGGCCTCCGTTAGGTAGGTCGGTAAAGGTGCAGCTAAAAAGCAAGACCATGCTGGAGCGGCTGGGTTTGGGTTCCCGGTCCTGTCTACAAATTCATCAGGTTGGAGCATTTCTCGACTTCCCTGGACATATAGTATCATTGTACTTGCCACACAATATAATGCAAAAATGGTAGAGGCATAGAAAGCTCTAAAGAAAACTAAATTGAGAGCAGTCATAAAGCTCCAGTGCCAAACCCAATAAACAATTTGTGCTGATTAAAGACTGAATAAGTATTTTTTTTTTAATGAAGAAGCATATTTTTGCCTGCATAATCTCTTATTCAACTTCCAATGTTTGTTGGGAAGCCAAAGAAGACGTCCAGGATATAATACTTATTGAAAATAAGTGAAATGTTGAAAAGACGATGATTAGTTGACTTGGAATTGCAAAGTTGAGGTTATTGATAATAAGATTTTGGTTGTATTTCTGTGTTTCCAGTTGAGAGATCTAGTAAATATTGGATAAATTTCAAGTTTAGCGACTCTAAACCAGCATCTTCAAAATTAGCCCACTCAATCCAAGCTGTGAAGCTAAAATTTTTATATGGAAATGCTCATAACCTGCCCTCCACCGTCGAGAAGTATGTAATCCAAAGATTGATATGCCCCATTCCTACCAACATCACCTTTACCAGGCAACACTGCACCTTCTTGATTGCATGCCATCAACGGACAGACCCGCTGCAAACACTTCTCTCATCCGCATCTTACTCTCCCACTGACTTCTTGCCAAACCATGCTGGTACTTACTCTCTCCAGCTCCGATTGCTACCTTAATCTCTCACCACCACCCGGGGCCGGAAGGGTGTGTGAGTGCGTGTTGTTGCAAAAAAGCTGCTGCCGATCGTTTGCTTTTATGCTCACGCCACCACCCCACGGCCACCTCGACCGCTCACTGCTCAGTGCTACTCTCTCTTGCTCGCACACAGTGATAGAGAAAGCGGGAAAGCGCGAACCAAACGGAATGACACCGACGACTGTCGATGTGTGCGTACGCGATATGATTCGAGTGTGTGGTGTGAGCGCGAGCAGGACCACTCTCGCCAACTCACTCGCACCCATGGCACTCGGTGCAAACCCCCTCGATGGCGATGTGTTGGTGCGCCCCGTTCGTACATATGTAAGATACAGATGAAGTCGGAGTTGAATTGAAAATGAAATGGAAATGAAAATACAACCCACCTATTTTTGTTTCATTTCAATGTTATACGATTAAGTGATTCGTTCTCTAATATATATTTTTAAAACTGTTATTTATTATTCGTGTGACTGCGGCGACGGTTTCTCGTGTGTTTCTCGGTGCTCCGCTCGTGCAAGTACAGCGGACCAGTAGTACAGAAGAAGTGTTTTGCTACTCGCCTGGTCGCCTACTTTGTGAGGTGCAACCTGGTGCTCTTTTATGCTGAGTGTGTCTCTGCTCTGCTGAACGACGGGCCGCGCTGCCTACTACAACTGCTCGCAGCAAAAAGCACCAACCAATTCGATTATACCGCCGAGTACTTTTGCACCTTGGCAAGGAGGAAAGCCCCGAAAAGAAATCGCAACAAGAAAGAAGTGGCCGGTCCGTTTTCGGAATTGAATTGCTGCCGCTAGCAAATAGGGGGGAAATAAAATCCCCAAAACAGATAGAGATTTCAGTCGTACAATTGGCATACGCGCGCCTACACACGAATTGAAGTTTTTGAGCCGTTCCCGGTTTTTTGTTTGTGTTTTTATTTCGGAAATATGCGAGTGAGAACAAAAATGTGGAAAAGTAGTGAGGAAAAATGATTTTACGGTGTGATGGTGGTTCGTTCGGTTTTACAAAGGTGAAATGAGAAAGAAATAATTACTTGTGCAAACTGAAGAGGTGCTATAGTTTTGTTATGATTTTTTTTTTTCGTTCAACTGAAGCGAAATGAAGAATTGGCAGAAAATATGAGAAAACAAGTTTGAGTGGAAAAAAAGAAGTCGGTACCGCCTTGTCAGATGATTGAAGGTGCTAGCTGAGGTAGAAGAAGTAGTGATTGAATTCCTTTTTTTCGGTGCTTGAAGATAATTGACCACTGCGGAAAAGTGTTGCGTGTACGCAAAGATATTATGGACAGTGCAATGGATTCGGCATCGACGGCCAGTGATCACAGTATAGCGTCGTCAAACGACTCCCGTGGACGCAATCTGTCTTCTCCTGCGATGCCCCATACGCACAACGGTGGTAGCCATGCCATGGACAAAACTCGAACCCCAACTCCGGTTAGCCCGGTGCAGCATAGCCACAACTCGAGTCTGAATCACGTTTCCGGCCGGCAGATGGCTACTAGTCCCTTGGGAGCAACACCACAGCAGATGATGGGCATGCCACATCCGTTGAGTCCACCACACGTTTCGACGCCCACTTCAATGGGTATGGTCGGAATGCCACCACGGATGGCCGGAAATCTAACGCACATCCCGCCACACGGACTTGGATTGCTAAACTCCTTCATGCACCATGCTAGCCCGCTAGATCTGATGGCCGCTGCCCATCATCATGTCCCTCCCCGATCGTACAATAGTCCACCACCGATTTCGAGCTCCGATCCAACGGCAAACGAGTGCAAACTGGTCGACTACCGAGGCCAGAAAGTGGCTGCCTTCATCATCCAGGGCGAAACAATGCTCTGTCTTCCGCAGGCTTTCGAGCTGTTCCTGAAGCATCTGGTCGGTGGTCTTCATACGGTGTACACCAAGTTGAAACGGCTGGACATCGTGCCGCTGGTGTGCAACGTCGAGCAGGTGCGGATACTACGGGGTCTCGGCGCTATCCAACCCGGAGTCAACCGGTGCAAGTTGCTGGCGTGCAAGGACTTCGATGTCCTCTACCGTGACTGCACCACCGCCAGGTGAGGTGGCTTTGTTTTGTGCTACTCCTCTACTACCTTTGCTAATCTCCTAGATGTTCCTCGTAGTTAGATGGTGTGCTGCTTCTATAATCTTTTAACTTATGTTTATTTTATGTTTTTTTTTTGTGTCGAAGCAAATCTCTACTAACCGTCCTGTTTTGTCCCTGAAATAAATGAAGAATGATTTCCCGTGCGTATTGTTACTCTGTGCCCATGTGTGATAGGCCTTGATCGAGTCTGAATTACTGGTTGCGCTTACGCTTTGGGAATGTGATCTGTACGCAGTGTAATTAGTATTGTAATGAAGGACATGTACATGTACGATGCGATGACGACGACGACGGCGACTTCGACGTCGCTCGGTGTCGCGATGAGCAGAGTGCGTACAGTTCGTCTGAAAGGGTGGAACGCAATTATTCCTGATGGGTACATGAGTTGAGCACCCATTAGGCATGTGCGTTGTTTTACTGTAATGTCATTTTAAAGCATTCAGGGATGGGAACTAATTTATCAAGATAACAGGACAATTGATGTTGGACATTTCTACTGGTGCGGTGCTTTTCGGGTTGACATTGTAAATTTGTCACTCGATTGGAGCAAGATAAACATTTTATTTACATACAATGTTATACAATTTTTAAATTGTTTCCTGCAGCACATTGGTCTTGAAACTTTCAGTGCATATGCTTGAAAAAGCTGTGCATCCATTTTAACTCATCTGTAGGTATAATTGGCTTATTTTATTATTTTGAATATATGGTATGTGTAGCTGTTCATATTTTCGTTAACTTAAGATATTTAACAATGTGCATGTTGTGAAATTAAAATCAGAAGCAATAAAAAGCGATTTTTTTTAACAACTTTATGTGAAGGGATGTGTTTTAATTAACATACAATGTGATTTGAGCACCTTATTATTTCTTCAATATTAAACATTATTTGAGAAAAATTACTATGCAGTACGCTAATGAATGATCCAACTAAGCAATTTTAAAAATATGAGAATTCTCATCTTCTCAACATCAAAATTTCAGTTGTTTTCCACTGTTCGTGTGACTATGAAATATTATAATATTTCAGCACTACTAAATAAGCTTTTACCAATTGCTGCTGGTATTTATTTTAAGAGATGAACTAGCCTATGGCTAAAAATCTCTCTAATAAAGGAAAAAAAAAAAAAAAAAAAGTATTTATTAGTTGGCTTCGGCAATACATTAACCTATTATCGTCAGGGGGTAAACAAAGTCCTAGAGCACTCAAATTTGGCCAATAGTTGCTCTGAAACACAATGTGTCAACATGCAAAAAATGAGCTCTCAAGGAAGTTGTTTACCCCCTGACGATAATAGGTTAAGGTATTGCCGAAGCCAACTTTTCCCCTATTAATTTTCTCGCAAAAGATATTTAGTCGTTTTTTAAACTTTTGATCAACAAACCTGTGGCGTACAGTATCCCATCTTTTATATACAATCAATAAAAAATAATTGTTCTAGATGGGGTAAAATGAGCCGTGGCGATCATTTGTTGCAAGATCCGTTTTGCGATTCCTGTGGCAGGTGTTCCAGCTACTTCAATCGTGGAATGGTTTACTGCTGCGATGAATATAGTTGTGTTTATTGACCGTCATTAAATTAATAATAATTAAGTATATTTGTTTGTAGTCGAAAAAAAAAAAAGAAATGCTTCCAACGTTATAGATTTATTTATTGTTAACTAATCATTAGAGAACGTTTAATACTAAAAAGTACCATCACTGCTCGTTATTGTAGATACATTCATTATGCCCCATGAGGGGTACCACTAAATATGCTTCCTCTGTCAACCAATCTGAAAACTGTATTTTTTAAGGTACAAATCAACTAATTCCACACTTCATAAACGAAATGGACTATATTAAAGCATAGAAGCCTGAAATCTATAGCTTTATTGCATTAAGTCACAAATGTGTGTACATTGCTTAAGGTGCTCATTAAGCCCCTTACACCCTATCGAAAAAAGGTTTTCTGTCTTTCAGGAAAATTTCCTTTAAAATTCAAATACAATTTTGACAACACCATTTTTAAAAACCTTTTCTAATACTCTAAGAAAACCCATGCGCTTTTTCAGTGGTGTTAATGCTCCAAAGTATGCCTTGAACATGAATGAGCAAGACTTGGAATTACGGTTATGTGTCATTATTGAACAGATAAAAGTCTGATGCGTGGAGGGGCTGGCAATGTTGGGTGATTACTGAACACACTAATCCAGTCAGTATGGTTTTACTGGGGTTAAAAACCTGTGGAAATTAAAAAATGAAGAAAATATGATTTGTAATTTTCATGAATGCTTTATGGATAACGGTCATTTTAATTTTTTCCGAATTTTTCAGCAATTAAAAAACCCAGTAAAAATACTGACTCCGGTAAAATAATCGACATGTGCAGTATTGAAATATTTTAACAAATATTAGATTTATTTATGTGACTGCAGAACCTTCGATTTAAAATTCATATCTGATATTTTTTTCGAAGCTAAAAATCAGAAGAAAAAAAAATTATTCCAGTATAAATATCCTTAAGATAAATTACAAATTGGAACAATATCAGACATGTTGGTCATGACGAGAGGAGCAACACAATAGTTGGGTAAAGAAGAATGCATTATAACACACCATAAACTGGAAATGCTCTCGCAACGTGGGCGTTAGGTATTGACGAAAACGTCGCTAGAACTATTCCAGAGCCGCAGACAGTAATGAGCAAAGGCGGGCGCACAGTTTTTGCCTGTAGATTTGAAGACATACTTCAAGTCTTCGCGTACATCGTACGGGTTAGGCAAAAGATGTGCGTTTGACTTTATACTGTCGCATTAATGGCCCTTCGCTCATTTTCAACTTCTATTCAATTTTCATACGGCCGTACTCTAACGGAACTATCCACCTACCCTCTTCTAAAGATCATTCTCTAGCTAATAAATTATCACACTAAAGCTTCATGTTAGCATTTCCAACCAACTCTGAAAATTGCAAACTTCGCGTATGAAGTAACATAGAAACACTTTGAATGTGTTCACAAATGTTAAATTTGCTATAGTGCTAATGCAGCTACAATTTTAAAATTTATATTTGATAATTAATGTCTCGCCAAACTATCATTATCCGTTTAATCAAATATATCATATTAACAATATGATCCATTCATTTAATTTCCAAATGTTGCAATGGCGACCCGCAAAATATTGCTTCACGCACCATCTAGCGTTGAAAAAGGTCAGCAACAATCATTCAATTACAATCGAGGGTTGTGAATATAGCACTTATTACAAAAGTTAGAGTCAAATTATTTTCATTAATTACATTGTGTAAATTACTTGTCTGACATGTCACTGTTGTCATCAAATAAAATGAAATGCTGAAATACATTCATTTGAAATATTAAACAAATTTTCATTTGGTTTACCCCTCGTGACGATAAACAAATACATTGGTAGCCTTTTTGGCCACAGATGTGTTTTCATCGCTGAAAATTCGGTTCGCCAGCTAAGCGAAAGAGTGGATCATATTGTTAATATTATATATTTGGTTTAATGCAATGAAATTCATCGGTTGTTTCGATAAATGCTGGTGATGTCTAAGATATTTGATGAGCAAACATTGTTTTAATTTAATTCATACAGATGATGCATTGATCTGAAATGCAGTTTTTTTTCTCGGAGCTTCCTATGCTAGCTGTTAAAACGCTAAAATATTAAATTTATACCATATTATTACCCCTGTAGTTGACACGATAATTACTATCATCGCAGATTCGAAGCAAGCTCGAAAGTGTTACAAAAAATCGTCAAATGAAAGAGCAGATCTCTGTTAGAGAACATTTTATTCTTTCCTCAGATGTAACACAATGTTTAAACGAGCTTAAATTTTGAGCTTTCTGAATGAACATGGAGTGATGCAACTGGCTGTAAAATATGATTTTTTTCTTAAACTATTAAGGAGATTTTTAGCCTCTAGGCTAGTTCATTTAAAAAAATATGAAGAGCTTTTGGAGTGTGTTGATTTATCTCCTTTTAATTCCATTTTAATTGCTGTTATTTTGACAGATACACGTATTACGTTTACTACTTAAAGACTTCATCATCTAATTCAAAACAGGACCCACAAATGTTGACTTTATTTTGTGTTACACTCGGGTTATCATCAAGACATTTCGCGCATAAGTTTTTGCATCCTTTCAAGGAAGAACATTGGTAATAATGTAGATCAATAGAATCAAAGCAACTGATTTTTAGGTTTTGATAAATTCAAGCGGAATACCATGAACGTAATAGATCTTATCAAAAATCAAAACGTTCTGTTTTCGATAGTTCCTCCTTATTCAAATATAACATGACAGAACAGGAAACCCAAATTGATATGAAAATACCTACTTTGTGAACCCAGGTTTCTCAACAATTGTGCGTGTTTAAAAAAAAACTTGACGTATGGATTCAGGAAGGCCTATTCAACAAAATCCAAGCGTAATATTCAAAGGAAGGAGCCAAAATCTTTCTTGGCTGAACATAAAAACCAAATTTTAACAAAAATACGTACTTTTGTCAATTTATACCAGGCTTTGTGTGTACTCAAAAAGCTCTTCATAAAGAGGGATTCCGTTAAGAGGTTCGACCACATTAAAAGATTGCTTTAATGTTGAGCAGATAATTAACGTGCATCTTTTGATAATTAGTTCTCAGCACAAACATGGTACCGTAAAACGGGGTGAAGTTGATCACTACACTGTTCAATTTTTGATTCTGAACAATAATTTTTCATGATATTGTTAAGAGATAATTTGTTTGGTATTTCGTTAAGTAATTTAAAATAGTAGTTTAAAATCACTTTCTCCAACAAACTTTGCATTCTACCACTCTAGATGTACAATTTTGTGGAACTGATAAAATATGGATCAGTTACCTAAATATCCTTCCAGAATCATTTGTTGTGATAGTGGGTTCGATGAAATTACTTATTTTACTTAATTTTGG